GCGAATGCCTTTTGGGCCGATTTCTCATGGTGCAGTGAGAGGGATAAGTTTGAGGAGACCCAGATGCCCAAATCCTTTTTGGCATCTATCCTCATGACGTTTTCTTGTCCCTTTTTACCATGCATAATAAGGGCATTCGCTGAATCCCCTCCAAATGACATATGGGCGCACTTTTCATCATTCAGAGGAAGGTGCCAGTCCAACGACCACTCCTTGGCGGCGTCTACATCCACTTGGAGGGCACTGGCATTGGAACTCCAGGATTTCAAGTCGTCCGCAGAAGGTAGACATGAACTCGCAAGAACGTCTGGAAGGTCATTGACGTAGATCAGAAACAGGAGTGGTCCCAAGACGGAGCCTTGAGGAACTTCAATGGAGACCGGCTTTGGAGAGGAGTAGGTCGAGCCCATTCTCACTCGGAATGATCTGTCTTATGGGAACGCCTTGATCCAGCGGAGGATTTTCCCTTGAATCCCGTAAGACTCGAGTTTGTGGAGCAGCGGGACGTGTGGGACCCTATCAAGTGCTTTTGAGAAGTCGAAAAATATGGCATCCGATATGAGTCCTTCGCCCTTGGCTTGGGTTAAGCTCTCCATAAAAACGAGCACGTTTGTCACACAAGAACGATTTGGGAGAAATCCGTGTTGAGCTGGAGATATCAGGGAGGACGCTTCTTTCAGGATCCTTGGATGGACCCCAACGCGCAGAATGGGTTGGTCTTGTGCAAGAGTTGACGAATGTCCTCCACCGTGAAGACCAAGTCGGTTAGGGGTTGTTCGTAGTTTCGCATTGACAAGAGTGGATGTGACGAGGACGCTGGGGCTGAGTATAGACACGCATAGCGTTCTCTGTAAGCCTCAGGTACCACTGTTGGGTCATTTGTCGGTTCTCCGTTTCTGTCCCTCAAGGAGAACGCGGATGGCTTGTTTCTGTGGCGATGTCTCATGTACTTGAACAGTACGTTTTTGTTTTTTCGAGCGAGGTACAGAATGGTGGCTTGTTTTTTATGTTCCATTGGCGGATTTCCGATTTACAGCGGTTTCGCATTTTACGAAATGCCAGCTCAACTTCTGTGTCCCCTGTGGTCAACTTTTTGAAAAAGAGTTGGGATCTTTTTTCCAGATTCTTCCGGATTCTTTCAGGCATCCTGCGGTTCATCCGAGTGCGTGCCGGTTTTCTTGGGACGAACTTCGCGTCAGCCTCGTGAACTTTCTGAACAATGGTCCTACATAGTTCTTCCACCGGAGCTGGCCCCAGTGTGACTTGTTCAAGGAAGATGCGCATTCCTGAGAAGTATGCACGGCAGAAGTCTCGAAACCACGTTTGGGGCGTTGAAGTCACCTACCATGAGGAGATGAGTGAAGTGGTAGTTGGCGGAGAGTTGCTCAAGGGTTTGTATGAGGATTTGGTCATCTTCAGAGGGACTCGGAAGGCTGCGGTAGACCACGCCGAGAAGGAGGAAATCGGACCCGCGCAGCGGGATTTGGACCCACATTGCATCGCAAAATGGTGCAGAGGCGGTGTCAGAGAGGACAATCGGGATTGGTCGGGCCGCATGTAAGTACAGAACAACCCCACCAGCCCTCCCTCGTTTTGAGTCAGCTCGAAAAATAGAGTAAACTTCTATCAAGATCTCCGCGTCAGAAAAATCTGGTGTGGGCCAGGTCTCTGTGAGTGCGATTATGGACGGTTGTTCAAGGCAAGCTGACTGTTTAACATCGCCGAGTTTGTTGAAAAGGCTGAGGCAGTTTGTGGACAAGCATTTCAACACTGTCTCTGCTGCCTCCGAGGATGAGGAGCCGAAAGTTTCGTGACCAGGGTGGTTGGCAGACTTAATAGTTGTGCACCGGGTTTGAGTCTGAGTCCAAGGCTCCAAAGGGGCCTCTGCAGCGATGTTGTCTGCTTCGTGGGAGTGCTTTCCACCTGCGAGTTTTTCTTCGTTTCGTGGGAGCTCGGTTTGCTCGGGCTTTTTGGCTTTGGGGGACGAAGTTTTTTCCCCATGGGCGAAAATTTTAACCGATGCTGTTTGTAGCCCTTTCAGCATCCCCTTTTCGTAGACCAGATTTGCTGTTGATCAAAGGTTTGCTACAAGCTTTCGCCTTTCTGGATCATGGGCGTTTTGGCGCGGTTTGACCGGAAAAGTGTCTCTGTGAGGCCCTGAGCGCTGGGTGGTAGCATCAGGAAGTCATGATTTTGGTGGCGCTCCCAAGAGGCTCGTTTGCGCGGAGGACTGCACCTTGAAGCCAGCCAGCAGTTTTCTAATATGGCGAACTTTATATGGCTTGTTTGGCTGCAGTCGCCCTTCCTTGGTGTATGTGTAGACATCCGATCCGCTAGCGATCAGCGTGGCCAACTGGATGTACGAGGGGTTTTCCGGATTGCTGTTGTCATGTTCATGGCTTTGGTTGTCGGAGTCCTGGGCGACGGTTGTGTGCACAAGCAGAGAGGCCGCTTTTGACGGAGTGGAGTTGGAGATTGGCTTCGCTTCTTGTTCCCGCACATCTGACTCAGTCCAGTTCAGAGGCTGTGACTTTGTTGAGGAGTGCACGGCTGTAGCTGTTTTCTCTGACACGGAGATAATCGTTGGTAGCTCCACGTCGTTTGGGCGCTGCTTGCATGTGGGGTTTGCCCCCTCCGAGGCGCCCCTGCGTTTGGTGGGCGAGAGGCCTGTGGAGGTCGAATAAAAGCTGCTGTCCGGAGACGCAGCTGGTTTCTTCGGCCCGGTTTCGGGAACACAGGGGGATATGACCACAATCGGCTTGGTCATGAGTTTGGCGTCGACTGATTTGGTGCCCGGTGAAAGCCTGTTTCGTGCGTCCACTCCTTACCTTCTATAACCAAGCTTACGCACGTCTAGAGGACGATCCTCAGATAGGCGCCTGATCATTGGGTTGGCATTTGAATGCTGCCAGCCCGCTCCAAAATCTCCTGTACGTCGGATGGGGAAGAAAGAGTGACTAGAAGTCCAAGAGTTCGCTTACTTCCATTCTGGCGTAGCCATTCTGCGTGGAGCAATTTATCAGGCTTGGTGAGGACGTTGCTAAGGGTTGACCGTGCAAGCTTCGCTGGCGTGATTCTTCCGGAGAATGATCCTCAGATTATTAGTCTGTTTTTCCTTAGGCGCCTGTCCACTAGAGGCGCTGTGGCGGTTTTTATAGCCGCGTCAGAAAGTTGTATGACTTTCTTTGCAGCCATGGGGCCCGGTATAAATGTCGCGAGGTATTGGTTCAGCGAGGAAAGTTCCTTGTCAACTTTCGTCGCTGCATTCCTAGCTCCTTAGTCCTCCAGCGCCTTTGAAGGGCGCTCTAATGTCGCGTCGAGTATCCCGGTTAGAGCGGAACACAGGCAGTGGTCTTTCTGAATCTGCATTGGGGATTGGGTACCGTTTCGGGGGACTCTTCTCTTCGCTGCGGTATGCATCGCACCCTTGATGTAGAGGCAGCTGGCGCAGACAAACGGGTCAGGAGAGTTAGCTAATCGGTTTATCTGGTCGTCCTGTAATCCCGTGCATTTGAAATGCCACCAGGCCTTGCAGGTATGTCATTGCATACCGCGTTTGACGTTCGAGGAGCAGCCATTTCGCCCACATCTGTTGTGGTCTATCAATGGCTGCAGAGGGCAATCGGTATAAATTGATGTCATGTTTGGGCCCTAGTAAGAGTTATACTCGCGTCGAGTGCTTGCTCCCTTTGGTGTGTACTCATCAGAATAATTGCACCAAGACAGAAGGACGACTGTCCAAACGAGAGTGACGTGTGCACAAATTCTACAAATCCCGCAACCAATTATAAATGTGCTGACCTGATTCACACTATGTTCAGACCACTGCATCTCCAGCGTTGAACAAGCGTGCTGGGTTTCGGAGAGACTTCACGAACAGACTATGTCTTGTTTATGGATTCCCATATTGGCGCACTGGTGTCTAGTTCAAGTGTAGCATTCAATGGCCCAGCCCCAATGTCCATTGACCGAGGGGTTGGTCGGAATGGACGGTTTTTTTATGTCATTGCATACCGCGTTTGACGTTCGAGGAGCAGCCATTTCGCCCACATCTGTTGTGGTCTATCAATGGCTGCAGAGGGCAATCGGTATAAATTGATGTCATGTTTGGGACTAGGTGTAAAATAAGAAGTTTGCGCAAAATATAAAGGGCTATCTCTCAAATGTTTTGTTAGAGTAATAAAATTCAACAATTACTCATGTGTATTCTGTGAATAGATTGAACAACAAAAATTTTTTTAACGAATTTCCACGAGGGAAAAACGAAACCGCTGTCGAACGTACCGCGGCACAGTTCACGACATGGCTGCTGAGGGACAATGTGCCACAGCTGGAGGACTACCTACTATTGTATTTTGATACTATCAAAGAGAGGCCACCTTGGACTTGACACTGTTTATGTACGTTCTTCACCGACACTTGACATTTTATGTTATGGCCAGTCTGTGGAGTGCCACATTTTCTTTTGTATCGCCTCAATCGCATGCAGATTTCACGACTTCTGCATGCTCTGCCGCATGTGCTCTGATTTGTCTTCCATTCTGGTTGGTTGTACAGCAGCAAAACTTGACCGTTTATGGGCACTCCAATATGCTGCTACACGGCAAAGAGGTTGACAACTGTGAGCCGCTGATAATCGCTTGGTTGGGCGAGTACGTCACTATGGCAGCCTCGAACAACCTATTTAAAAGGTGCTTTTTCACCTTTGTCGGGATGCACCTTTCATGCCGCCGTGAATGAGGGAAAATCTCGGACGGCAACAAATACGTTCTGAATTTGGCTTGGCGAGTGACCTTCTACGCATGTTCTCTTGTTTTAAGGAGCCTATTGCAGTGACCTATTGCAGAAGTCACGACGTTTGAACTGAAAATGTTATAGGGATCCGTTCGGCGGTACACCTTCCGGTATAAACCCCTTTGCACACAGGCGACTGACATCTACGCTCACTTGAGCCATCTCAGGCAATACAGCTTCTATGCGGTTGGTTGCTGTCGATATTCCAATACTAATCGGTTGCACAAACTAAGAAGTCTAAACCACGGATATCTTTTATTTCTGCAAAAGTGCTAACGAAAATATACTTGTTAAGGTGATTATGCAGGGATATTTCCTACAATTTTCAGAGTCTCACGCTTCACATCCAGTGCGGTGAATGTTTTGCTAATGAGTTGGCTTGGCTTCGGTTCCAGAAGACTGAGACGTCTACTAGGGGAAACAGAAGATTCAACATTCGTTCATAGTCAGCAGTGCCTTTGCAAGTGCTACAATGCAGGCAACGCACTCGGGCGTAAAAATACGAGGACACGAGCCCAAAAGAAGGCATGGTTTCTTCCGACAAGCGAAATTCCCGATTGGGAAGATATCACCTGAGGAGCCAGTCTAGTGGTACACTTCCTGATTTAAGGGTTAGTGGTGCTGTATACTGCCCAATGACCTCTTGCAGGATGGATCATCTACACGTGACCAAACCGTCTTTTCTTCAACTATGAGTCGAGTGGTCACGTGATCGAATCTCCATCGATATTCGTGTGACGCATGCAACTGGCAATCGTCATTACGAAGAAGATACTGCACAGCGCTCCTCAGCATTCCGATATGAATCGTCTTCATCTTTTTCACGCAATCTTTTTGAAATCCCCAATTCTATCACCACTACAGAACGATGGCGGTTTGTCGTGTTCACTGTATGCCGCATATTCGTCATCGATTTAATCTGTAAAAGTATTGCTTGACGACGCGTATTCAACGACGTACGGCCTCAGATCCTGGTACGCTGCAGGAACTGGGGATGTTCTTTTCTTAAATAAACAAAAGTCGTTGAGCAATGCAAACAAGTACTACGAAGATGCATAAAAAAGCTATTTGAAATAACGGTACTTTCTAGAATTCTTAGGGCACGCGAAAACCGTTCCTTCAAACAAACTTTCCCTATAGGCCCGCAAGAATATGCTCCACGCCGTTAAGTTTTGTTGTAAGCAGTTAGTTTGCTGTTGATTAATTCAATAACAGTAGATTCTTGTACCTGGCTCCGCAGTTGATATTAGCCAAACAACGCGCTAACTGTGCACCTGTAGCATGTTACGTGACGAACAATACTAGCCTTACAGGAGGGAATTCGTTCAAGCACAAGCCAAATGTGGACACATTCTTAACGTACTGTAAGTGCATTAGGCTACGATTCCTCGTCAAGCTATTCAACCTCTCAAAGGAGAGGTTTCCAAGTGTTTTGCCTGCAAGGTCTCTTAAAGCTATCATTTGTGGGTGCAGTCCAAAATCTGGGACCCACGAATGTGATGGCCTGCGCTTCTTAGTAAACCCGCAAATAATAATTAATTGAATGGATACCTGTCGCGGGCTTTGATCTACTCATAAAACGGTGACAATTTTCGGTCAGTTTTAACTTTCGCTGAAGGCCGACAAGAAATGTGCTTTTGGAAGCGCATAGAAAATAAATGGCAATCTTTCCTCAGATTTCAGTCTTTATAAAGGAACATCTGATAAGCCTTTCTTTTGCACGGTTTAAAAAGATGCAGTAGCAACCACTCTTTGTAATTCAAGGCGTTGCCTCTGACAAAAATAACGGTAACAACTTTTTTACCGAAGTTCGCAGGTAAATAGAGGGCAAGATTATTAAAGTGTACGAGAAACAGTCAGTGGTCAAATTTTTGACTTATAGCTAAATGTTTACAAACGGAGCGGTAAACCACACTAACCGTTTTGCTGACGATAGAGTTCGCGGTAAGGAAGCCACTATAATTAGTGCTTTATTTTATCCATCAGAAGTCATTCCAAATGGTTCGCAGTTTCAGTCGCTGTGCTGTGAAACATCTGCCCTGCTTTCGAATGCACATTTACTCATATTCAGATGGCTGGAAAAATAAAACTTCAAGTATGTCGGCTTGTGGCCTAGGCATTAGCTCCTCCAACAGTTGTGATAAAATCGTGAAGCTGAAGTGTTGACAAAGATCCAGATATCTCTTGTTATCTTTGTGAGACTTCAGTGCTCAGTTACTTTTGAATTTGCAGGCACTCGTCAGATATTTTCACGAATAAAACGTGGGAGGTGAAGTTTTACGAGATGAGGTTTCATGACAATCAAATTGTAGACGAAATGCTTCGCCCAACTTGCCCAAGAGCTTACGTAAGTGAGCGAAGTGTACACAAAATCTACCAACACCATTTAGCCCAAAGGAAAACTTTGTAAGATGGTCAAATAATGCGGCTTTTTATGCTATCACAAAGACTCGCATAAAGAAGCGTTTAATGAAGCTTCGAATTAGTCGCTAGATGGAGCGTGGACAAGCGTCTAAGGATGTTCATTCTACACAGCGACCACCCGAAACTAAGAAAGGATTTGTCTGATAAAATTGTGCGCTCTGAGTTTAGAAATCTCAACGTGATTACGCCATATGTTGGCCGGATCAAGGGTGAAAACTTGTTGGGCAACAAGAAGTAAGATACTCTTTCGTCACCTCGGAAGCGACGAATTCCAGGGGGTAGGTGGAGCACCGCGAGATGAGTTTTAGTGTTCACGGACTAAAGGCTGTCAACCATTTTCATAGCGTCTCCTTAAAAATGCTCAACGAGGAGTACTTCCTGCTTGCGTCTCCAGTAGACAAACTGACTGGCGTCGTAGACTTAGATGTGACGTAGACCCAATAGAATACCTGGAAGTCAATGCAAGTAATGCTTTAGAAGGTGCGTCAAATCATCCGTAGAAACAGTGAAATCTTTCGAGCCGATTCCTCGCGGTGAAAAGATAATCACTCGTTTAAAGTAAGCCGGGCTCCCAAATCCTTTGCAACAGCTAGATTTGTGATGTCTTTCGGATCATTCTCATAGTGCACGAGATAGGCATTCACCGATTTTCCTCAGAATGACATAAGGACACAGTAGTGACCCCAAAAAGGAGCCCTGAGGAACTCTAATGGACATCAAAGCCGGAGAAGGATACATCGAGCCTACTTTCACTCGGAATGTTCTGTCCAGTGACAGCGCTATAATAAGGTGTAGTGCATTCATCCTTAAACCACGTAAAACTCGCGTTTGTGGAGCAACGAAACGTGTGAGGCTCGATCGTATAATTTCGAGGAGTCAAAAAATATGATATCCGATATGAACCAATTGCTTGGGTCAACCCGCCCACAAATATGGACACATTCATCACCAAAGAACGGCTTGAGAGGTATCTGTTTTGAATCGGGGATATCAAGTTGCTTGAAGTGAGGTTATCTAAAATGACTCGTTCCAAGATGTGTTCCGTAACGCATCAAATCCTTTTGGGTAGCTTGAGGTGGTTGGTTGCGTGCTGTTTTTTAAGATGAACATCGTGTCATAAACTTTCTGAATTATGGTCCTGTATAACTCCCATTTTTAATTGGAGGAGGAAACTTCGCGGGCACTAAAACCACATACCAGCAGGAGATTGTGAAGTGCTATCTGGTAGAGTAGCTAAATTGTTTCTATGAGGAATTGATTACCTTCCGGTGGACTCAAGGTACAACGGTAGATCATATAAAAAAGAAGCGATTTGGTCCTGCGTTGCGCAATTTTAATCCACAGTGCATCGCAAACGGTGCTGGAGTGGGTCAAAAAAGACGACCGACGTGGACGTGGCTTCATGTAGATATAAACCAACAGCATCGTCCCAGAAATACCAACAACAACCACCGTTAAACTGCGGTTTGCATCAAAAAATGGAAGGCACAGTTGTTGAGGCATTGAGAAGATAGACTATGGGGTACGGTTTGTCGAACTCTTAGAGGAGAAAGACTAGAAAAATGTCATTTTATTGATGGATATTGCCTGGGGGTGTGTTGGGGGACACTTGAGCAGGAGATAATGAGATGTAGGAAACCTTGTAGTCCGCTCTTAGATCATCTTTGTAGTTGGTGACAAATAGTCTCGGGAGTGGCTGTGTTAGTAACTGACGTATTCGGGAAGTTCAAACAACATTGTGGGAGCAGAAATTTATGGCAATACCCAGAATGAGTGGAAAGTTAGATGAGGTGAAAACCATGTGACAGAAATAGACCTGACCCTCAGGGTACCTTGACAAGCGAAAAAAGATATGGAGGCGTTTTGAGCCATAGCAGAAACCTGAAGATAATATGAGAGTTCTTTATCAACGCAAGTACCGCGGCTGATAAGCCGTGTCTAAGAGCAGATCCCCTAGTTGATGACTGCACTAATTCGGATGAGTGTGAGTTACAGGTTATGATGGAATCGACGGAACTTTCCTCCATTAACCTACAAGATGTGAGTGTCGGGAAGCAGAGGCAAAGTAAACTTAGTTTTCAGTGCTCTGAAGGAGCAGATTTGACACCAAGCAACCACCGACGCAGTAGACCGTTTCCTCGGCTACATCCACGGGTACACGTTGCACGTATAGGTGTGTGGCTTGCGGCCACGATCAGTGACCAACGCGCATTTCAGCTTAGCGACCATACAGTTAGGAAGCGAGCAAAACATCCTGTTATCATCTTTTCGTCCTCTTGACTTGATTCAAACCACTGTAGGACTTGAAAGCCTACTGGATCCAATAAGCTTGTGTTACTGGCCTTGTTTTTTCTCCTTTTTTCCGGGCCAACTTATACCCTGTTCTAGTCAAGTCCTCATCCCGGAATACTCTATCCGCTCCGTCCAGAGACTAATGCCTTCGACCCAACCAAACCAATGTCTGCTTGTTTCTTCATCAGTAGAACGTATTATACGTCAACCAAACAGAACCACTTAGCTGCTGCTTACAGGGGTGTACGCTATATATATGCATTTACATACATTATATATATACTGAGGCTCCGAACCCTCCACTTCCGGCACGCGGGGCTAGCGCCAAAAGTCCTCTTTGCCATTAATCACTTGTAGATTAAAACTGATAGTAGTGCTTCTGGGACTGGTGACCTTCTACTTACATTCACTTTCTCCCGTAGATCGTCTCACTGGTGTCCCATTCACTTGGAAACATCAGGATGTGTAGTCCACCACCTCAGCAGTTTCACCTCTACCATTTCTTAGTGCTTGATTTCTCTGCTCACGCCGCCTCTCTTCCTACTTACATCGAACTTTCCTCTATCTCAGGTAGTTTAATAGCATATATTGGAAATCTTAGCTTGACTTTGATGACCAGACCATTGAGTGCAGTTATGTTCTTATCCCCTCCCTTTTAGCCACTTAATGTCACCACCCAAACTGTGGCAAATATTTAGTTTTTTGCCAACCAAAGGACCATATCTCGTCTCATGGATCCTGTAACTTTCCAGGCCTTATTAAGCTCATCGCTTTTCATCCTTTCTCCGAGCTTTAACCTGCGACGTGCCATGGACGTCCACTCCATTTGATCTGTGCATTACACCCAAATGGATCCCCGACCGGACGAAAAACAATAAATTGTTTTTCTCCCCCATGCGGAATCCCCTGGCACACCCACAGCCTGCGGCCCACAGAATTGCATATCCCAGCCCAATTACCTTACTCACGAAGTCCACCTAGGGGTTGTCCAGAAGCTGAAGTATCTCAGTGCAGTGATGGCATGGCCCTGACATACCCAGCTTAACAGCCTACCTGCAACGGCTCACTTCCGGCGTTGACTGCGCCCTCTAACCTACTTGTTCCTTCGCTTGCAACCACAACAAAAGTCTTCACTCGGCCCCGTCCGACTCCGGGAGGCGTTCAGAACAACCTACAAAACCTCCTACCGGATCTTGGTGTCTTTTACCATGTACTATTCACCAAGTCAGTCGTTTTCCGTACATTTCGCATTCCTTGTTGTGCGTTCCTCTTTCTCCCAAGAAACTAAACCTGACGCCGCTTGAGCAGCGACACTAGTTAGCATCTTCAGTTTCGCTGCACACTGTAACTGTGGGTTCATCACTACCATTCCTCCGTACTACATATACCTTACTACACCATATCCACTTTTTTGTGCCCCCGGCCATGAGCATAAAAGCCCAAGGCCGGGAAGCAGCAGTGTTGTGGTTGGACTTTAGTCTAACCCGACCGATCAAATCGTGTCAGTTCCACTGCCTCCCCAGATCCCTGCTTTTGTTTCACATATTGTGCAATTTGTCGTTTTTAAAACATCTAAGGCGGGAAGCCTGTTGCTATGCCCTCATTCGTATTGTTTTTGCCCGCCACTTTCAAATCTCAGTGATCGCATCTTTTTTCATCTGATGAGTCAGCCATAAGAAAGGAAGAGCCTTTGTAATTTTGTTTCCTTAATCGTGCCGCCGGACGCGTGACCAAAACTATTACGGATAACGCCCACCTTTATCTCACCGTCCATTTTCCACAAAATTCACAGTATATACAAACGTCGCTGGTCACGCTTTGTGACGCGCGTCAGCGAAAAAGCACCATTATTTTCCACATAAAACATGTTGTTAGGTTCGTATTTCAGCTAAGCAGAACTGAGAACGCTGCAGTATTCAACGATTGGCCGCTCGTGTCTGAGGATGGGGTTCATTTACAGAGGTGTACTTTCACATCAAGACTGCACAATGCATCAAACTATCATCCATCATTGTTTTAAACAGCAAGAGAGCTTTCTGAATACCTGTGTTTTACCAAAGTTAGCCGAACGAAATCGTCTAATTTATTACGCCTAGCCAGCAAACACGCAAAAATTGCTCTAATGTTTGCCAGGAAGGGGTTTATATTAGAGATTCTGTAACTATTATCCCCCATTCACTGACCACCGCAGAACGGTGAATATTCTAAGATTGGGTTCGGTGCTTTATTTAGTAAACTGGAAATCGTATGCGAAATTGGCGGGGTCAGTGACCTTGAAGGTTCGATTACTTGAACAACGTGTTATAAACGACGTGTCACTTAGATGTACAAAAGGCTGTGAATAAATCTCCTTAAAATTCGCATCTTTGAAAACATCACAGATAATTGGGCGGTTCCGTCAGGGGGGGATATTTTTGGTCGGCCGAGGGGATCCTCAGAGTTGGAGCAAAGCACATACAAGATTCCAGGTATTTTCTTGATCCCTTTAGAGAGGTAGTATAGCGCAGCGTTTTATGTGCATTCAAAGTTGTATTAGTTTTGACTGTAGTGTGATGATGAGGTCGATTCACGAACCTCAAATGTTCGGATTGCGTTTGGTGATTTGAATCGCCCGTAGCGTCAAGGTATTATATCCGGGAATATCAAGTATCGTATGTATCCGGCTGCAGTAGGGACTGTTCTGTTGAATGGCCGTGAGACCAGGCCTTTTTGAGAGACGGAACGAAGGCGTCTTCCGGAACTTGTCACCGGTTGTCTCAAAACAATATCTCGTCCAAGTCGATGCCAGCAAACCCGTGAGTAAGTTGGATCGAATCAGATTGGGCTCTCTTGCTAGCTCATTTGTTCATGTATAGTCGACATAACTTCGGAAGTGAAGATTGGTTACAATAGGTCGACGAGCACGGTGAGTCGGATGAAGCCCAGAGGGGTACCTGTTTTCGGTTAGATTGTTACTGTAGTTGAGTATGTGGTGTTTACGAGTTTCAGTGAAGAAAATCGAGCTCTCCATTTTGTTAGGCCATATTGTATCCGTGTCAAACATCAGAAATCGAGTGATCTTGGGATTTAGTGCGCTAAACGAGCGAATTTGACACCAAGCACCCTCCCAATTACTAAGTCTTTGCTACGGCTGCATCCTTGGTTGCATGGCCCATGAATCCTAGGGCTAATTTATATCAATTGATCTTAAGACTGAGCAGTAGATAACCCTCTTTAGCTTTAACTTCACTGAGTGTTGTTGTCGAATCTCGCCATCAGCCGATCGATGTACACACGGCTCCCTCGCAAACGCCAAATGAACTTGTAACGGTCGAGCGGTATCTTCGAGTGACGCGTAATACCAGAACCTTCGGGTAGGCAAAACGAAGTAGGAGCTGGGTTTCTGTACGGTACTATCAGGGTAAGAGAAATCACAATTTATACAAACCTCGACAGTAGATACGCGTCCAAAACAAACGGTCCGCTTGCACTACAAAAGTACAAAGCAAGGGAGCAAACAGGCTCTCACGTGCAAAGACAGATACAAATGGCCGGATGACTTCAAAGCCAGATGGGTGAATTGGTAAGGACAAACAAACGTCAGTTCATATATACACACTGAACACAAAAGTGGGGCGAGGGTTACAAATGGGGACAGAATAAACGTGGGGAATTTCATTGTCAACATAACGGATGATAGAGAACTAGTTGAGCAAGTAGTGAGTTAAAATCATAACATCAAGTCTCCAGGTTCAGCGCGGAAACCAACTGGGAATTGTGGACAAAAAGATTCGTTAAGTACTCGGTGAGTTAGTCGTTACAACTTTGTTCAATTGTGTTTTAAATGATACCGTGTACGAGTCATCATTGATTATGCATTTTCTGAAGAACGCCTGTCGGGTAAAACATTTAGAACTGGATTGATCACACGTTATGTTTGTGCCGATGGAACCAATAAATAGAAACCAGATTTGTTGATAAAAGTTGTGTAATTTTAGGCCAGCGGCTCGAAACACAATGCATTTTTCTGAAAACCCCCTGCGGGCGAATAAAAACTTTAACGTCAAAATGTTGCACTTCTTTGCATATATGCTCAGACTGAAAATCGCCCTCATCTGCTGTCATTTTTTGTGATTTGTTTTCATGGATCTCTTTTGAAAATTATTGGAGCACATTCGGCTTTGAACTTCGTCTACTATGGCTTCGGAAGTGGCTTTCGTTGAGAAATTTGAGGGTGTATCGTTTTCATCTTTTACGGCATTTGAGAAGACCTTTATGGAATACATGAAGGATAACTTTGTGATATTTGTGCGTTCATCCAGTAATCAAAGCACCAACGTTATTTTGTTTAACGAATGGGTGTACTACAAATGCAGCAGGCGCCCTCCAAGACCAACGAAAAGCCATGGAATCCGAAGAAGCTAGTAAGCCGAGCGTATTTTCTAATAAAAGAGTACGCAATGCACCAACTGTCTGGTGCGGTTTTGTCTACGGAGGCAAAGGAACCAACTGGCAGTGACCTCTTGTTTTCTGGAACACAACCACAAACCGTTAGAGTTTTTGTACGATCGGCTTCCAGTCAATCGACGTCTAACCGAAGACGAGTTGGGCACATGCATGGCCCTGCTGAGATATGGAACGCCGTCATCTGAGGTGCGGCAGTTTGTGGCGAATGAATTCGGAAAGATTCTTACCATTAGGGATACACACAACTACAGCCGGAAGCGTCAACCGGCTATGTTGAGTAGGTGCCGCATGGTTGGGTTTCAATGCAGCAGATGATATGCCTTCGGTTCTGGCAAAACTTCGGGAGACCGGACGCGTCCTTGTCTGTCAGGGAGAGGAAGGTCACTATAGCCACATGTGTTTCTCCCGGTGGCAGCAGATAGCGTTATTCCGACGCTTTCCAGAGGTAGTTAATGTAGACGGAACACACGCAGCAAACCGCCTTGAGTAAGTTTTTAAAGCATCTAATATACGGCATTTAGATATAAAACATACACATTCTTGATAACGGAAGGCGTGGGAACCAAGCGTCCGGTTGTGTATGTGTTCGTAGAAAGCAAGCAGTTTGCTCCCATGCATAAACTGTTCGGCTTATTCAAAGAAATGATGGGCGAAGCGTGTCCGGCCAGGTCCTTCGTAATGGAAAAGTTGGCGGTGCTCTGTGACCGGCCTACTACTACCAGTGACCGCTGGTGTGTAACGGATCGCGTGTCGTATCACACTCATTGTTGTGACAGTGAACCTTGCCCACTGTGCGGTGGTACTCTTCAGGCTTGTCCCAAAGGTGAGTCCACATGAAAATAAATCACTTTTGTTTCTTAGCACCGGGTCCATCCAGAAAACGGAGAGGTATGCTTGCTACCCGGTCCGCAAAAGGGCGTCTTATGATGTTGACCTGGACCGAAACACAGATTCCCAGCACAGTGTGTCCCGTAAATCTGTGTGCGTCCGTGTTTTCGGGTCCACAGAGGAACTAATCGACAGCCGTGAGTCAAAGTCTTTCAACTACGACTAACTCTGTAGAGCACCAGCTGGATGGCAGAGACGAAGATGAGTTCATTTGACCCATCGGCTCCGAAAAGTTTGTCTGTTAATGAGGTCCTGTGCATTACATGTAAGTCCCGTATTTCTTGAGAGGTGCAGTAAACAGGCATGCAAAATAACCTCGGCCGCCCGCCCCATGGAGATATTTTGATAACCTGAATTGTATTTTCCTCTCATTTTCCTCTCAGCGGCCAAATGAACACTCCTCACGAAGAAGAAAACGTGCCTCTCAGAAGGACATACGTAAACTTCAAAACGACCAATATATCTCAAAATTCAATAATGTCCATTTTGAGCCTTTTCTCAGTTACAGATGGGTGGGTGCGCTAGTTAGTTAGGCATCGTATACCGCTGGCTGCATGTTAGTCGTGTGCGTCGGTTAAGATCGTTCAGCTGTCTGGTATTATCGACGTAGGCTCTATTTTGCTAGTTGGTTAGGCATCGTGTACCCGTAGCCGCATGTTAGTCGTGTGCGTCGGTTAAGATAGTTCAGCAGTCCGCTATGACTGACGTATGTTCCATGTTCCTGATCGATAAAACTCGAGGTCTTTCTAGCATAATTCGCAACCTATAATGAAAAACTCTGGTTTTTGCCGGTCAACGTGCACGATGTTAAGCAAATAATTAGCGTACACTGCGGAATTTTTACTGGCAACAAAGAATCATCGACTAAAATTTGTTTGCACGAATGCGCCTACGGATATGTTGCATCTCCAAAGGTCATTCGGATTCTAGAATGCTGAGGAAATTTGTTCCGGTGGAAAAATACCCGAAAGTTACGTTCATTGTGTGTGAGTCAACGTTTTCCACAATTCGCGATTTTTTATCACCAGGTAACGTATTCACATTCGGCGGTCTTTATTGACCTTGAGAATTCGCTCGCTCAAACAAAACGCCATAGTAAATGATTTTCAGTATTACAGGAGCATATACATTATACATAGACATTCCACACTATGAAGTGGCAAGTCTGAAAATGCCGTAGATTTCGAGAAATCAATCTCATTGTGCCATTAGCCAGTGGCTAATTTTAGGGATGGACGAAGTATGGATATGAAGAACCGCCGTTGGTCGCTGGAGTAGTCTGTTGTGTATAGCTGGCTTACTGTAGTCGGCTACGAGCCTGTGCACTTGCCCAGCAGTTAACATAAGTAGCCTCGAAAGGTGAAATCGAGTACAGTCAGGTGCATGACGGCCGTCGTTGGTTATTGGACTGTGCTACTGAGCACAGCTGAGGCCTCACACTCGGCGCTGCCCACAGACACAGGCCTATCAATTACGATAAGTGACCAGTGTGGGCGGTATCGACGAGAGTCACGAGGGTGACGGGCCGTTGTCCATTCGATTAGGATATCGCGCATAGTTTGGGCCTCATTTTTATCGGCCACCTAGATGCTGGCCTGGGGTTTGCGATAGGTAACAGAAATAGGCGAGAGCGCACACAGTTATGGGTATGACGGGCCATTGTTGGTAGTTAGATTAGGTCACAACGCATAGTTGAGGCCTAATACTCAGCGCTGTATACATGCACTGGCCTAGCAGTCTCAAAAAGTAGTCAAGGTAGGCTATACGATTATGTGAGTATGAGATCCATCGTTCGCAACTAGATTAGTTACGTGTGCATAGTTTGGGCCTCGTATTCATCGACTCGCATGAGTACTGGCCCGGTGTCTATCACTAGTAGCAAAGATAAGCGAGAACGCGAACAGTCACGAGTACGACAGAGTAGGTTGGATCGGGTTACCGGTTACTCACTGCCGCACATGGGCACGAGCATAGCAGTTACGACAAGTAGCCAAGTGAGTCGATATCGAGTATGGCAGTGAGTAAGACATCAGGCTATGCTCTCACGTATAGTTGAGGCCCAATTTTACAGGCCCGCATGGATACTGGCCCGGTGTCTACTCTAGGTGGCAAGGATTAGCGGCATCATGTGTATTTATGGGCATGAAAGATCGTCTGCGGCCGTTGGATTATGTTACTGCACATAGGCGAGGTCTCATAATCGGCGTCGCACATACGCGCGCCTGGGAGTTACAAGCATTCGAGGTGAGTGACAGCGCGTAGAGTTATAAATGCCGTCTTCGGTCACCAGATTGGGCTGCCGTGTATAGGTGGGGCCCCAAAATCAGCTCGTGCATGAAGTCGGGCCCAGCGGTTGTGATAAATGGTCGAATTGAATGAAAACTGCCACCGTCATCATGGCGACCACCTTATGGCGGTCACCTTAGTAGAAATGATGCCTGCGGCTATCTCGCTACGCTGTATTACCCACAAGTTAGATATGCAGAGATGGCCCTCGCATCGCCGCTGCACAATTCAGGCTTTTGTATAAAAACGCTGTCCTTAGTGGAAGTTGAGATTCATGGGAAAGTGTTGAGACCAGGTTCGCGGAACAAAATCGTCTGGTTCGTTGAATCAGAGGAGTGTAAAGCAAACACAAGTTAATGACCGATCCTCCAGGGTTAAATTTGCAGTAGATATTCTTTAGATGTTTTTTAATCCTAATGAACACCGAAAGACGTTGAAACGTGCTGAATTGCGATTCTTGTATTATCTTTTATAAAGCGGTAACAAAATGCGGATCAGTGATGGTCCGTGACCCTGAACTTCCACTCACTTTAACAAAATGCGACGAGCAAGGTGTCACCAGAAGATGCGAATGGATTAGACTAACTAAGCGTTAAAGTCACAATTTCGAAAAGCTATGGTGTCGGCAAAAATGTTTTGGGTGTGCTTCTAGTCGGCGGCAACATCAGAAAATTTGAATGCATTGTCACCAATTTTCATTAGCTTTGGGCACTTGTAACAGACATTCAGTAGTGATTCTTGGTCGCCGAAAATCTGATGCAGTGTTCTGACCTAATCTGGAAATTTGGGTTGGCGGAACAGCCCTGGAATATTGATGTCTGTGTACCGTTCATGATCCGGTGTGCCGCGTTCTTCCTCAATAATATGACTTCCCAACGGTCATAGAACTTCGGAAAATCGGTGTCTAGCATGTCTTCCCGCCGATTTAACCAAGAGTTAGAAGTGTGACCAGAANAAAGAGTGTCAACGTGAACTCCGTTAAAGAAGCCGTGACTGCATCAATTGACGAAAAACTCACCTGCAGTCTCTGAGTGACCGTGCTCCTTAAAACTGCCTTTGTTGCCGACGGGATGATTCTCAGAGCTGTTGCATTCATTAGGCATTGTGAATTACCATTCCCCAATCGTAACAAGGTTATTTTCTCAGGTTAGTTCTCTGTCTGAACCTTCCAAGCTAGCGATTCTCGACAAAAGAACCACCAAATGTGCACAACGAGCATTAACGCCCGAAACCAAGTCAAAAACATTTGTACAGTGCGTAAAGTGTGCGCAGCAACAAAATTCTGGGAAATCCCGAAGCCTTCTAGATGCAACATCGGCAAACGGCAGTCAGTCGGATACTGGTTCGTGATTGGTCGTTGAGCCTAGACCTTCAGCCGGGGATGGACCGGCAAGTGGCCATGTCTTCTGGCCAATTGGGTGTGGGATAGGCTTCTTGGTCGTAGAAGCTCCCACCTGCGATCGGTAAATCGGTACGTGTGCTGCACCATACAGTGCCTGCCATTTTCTATATATGTACATATTGGTGATGTACAACCTTCCTTACTGGGCTTCGGTTCTGCATTTCACCACAGAAACTGGTTTGAACCCCCGGTGCATAGTGCGGTGCGGATTTCCGCCGCCCCGGTTCAAATCCACGACGACCACCCTACTGGATCTCAGCACCGTCAAGTCTACCTACTTGGACTTTCATAAGTTGGCAACCGCCGCGGTAGTTAGCCTCTTAGCCCGCCATAACAGAGCACTCACAGCGTCCTGAAAATGTTCGTACTAGAGCTACAGTTTTTCGGGGCTAGGCAGGGCGATTAAGAACTCGTTTTCGGACTACACTCCCAGATACGAAACGAACCGCGCAGAGGCGACTAGTAACCATTCACCCAGAGATTCTTAAGCCTTCGAAATGTCTTCAAACAATGGCATCACCATCAGGGACAGCAACACCAGTGTTGACACTGATGCTTCCCTACCGTCCAACCCTAAAGCTCATCTAATTATAGTTGAAGCCCTAGAGTGAAAAGAAATGAAAAAAAGGGTTACGGTGGGGAACTAGCGCTGGGCTATGCCAAACATTCTGAGGTGCCTATACCTACAAGCGCTCAATCAGACAATCTGCAAACTTTCACAGCTGCCATTTTTCGCAATGTCTTCAGATAGACACAGACCTAGTCACGATTGCCACGCTCTGGGGTTCGTACCAAACCAACAACTCCGAAACCTTCGTACTCTTTCACATCCTTCTGCAGAGTCATACATTGTCCTCCTCACGGTCTGTGCCATCCTGAACGAGGCACAGATAACAACACTCGTTTCGGTAGGCCTTAACTTAGCATGTGCAGCGAATGACGGAGCCACCGCAGCTGACAACGCTGAATATTGTCCGCGATTGAAGTAGCTCATATACAGCCACACGACCACTATTAACACTCGTTTCGGTAGGCCTTAACTTAGCATGTGCAGCGAATGACGGAGCCACCGCAGCTGACAACGCTGAATATTGTCCGCGATTGAAGTAGCTCATATACAGCCACACGACCACTATTCAATTGCTTCATTACGAACTCATTGACGCCTTCCGACACCAGCACCGATTCTGAGGCAATACGCCTTACATCTACCCTCAAAGTCCATCGCTTCACACCATACAAAAACCTAAGGACGCCCCCATCTTCTGTCTGCGTAGGCCACGTCTCGCACCCGTAAAACAACACAACCATCATTGTAGCCTGGTAAACGCGACCCTTAAGGCCAAGCAATATGCCTTTTTGGCGCCACAATCGACGCAACTTAGCAAACGTGATTCGGGTCTCTGAATCTCTGCAGTGACTTCATCAGACATCTTTCCGTCAAAGCTAAGACAAATACCTAGGTGTGTAAGACATTCCAAAACCTCCAGTGATTCTCCTCAAATTGTAAAGAGGTTCGGAGACTGTACGTTCTGGAGCATGACTTTGCACTTTGAAGGTGCAAGGCTCATGCCAAAAGATGATATGATGATGGCCAGTGTATTCAACAATGACTCAACACTCTGATCCGCTTGGCTGAAGGGGACCGACCTGGCCCGAGGGCACAGGGAGTAAGGCATTATTGTCTCACCTTCGGTGCAGCTGCGCACAGTAATTGCCCTTTGAGGAGCACCAGACCTTTTGGTTTCAAAAGTATATCAACCGTTGGGCGATCGGAGAGTGCGGTTTTTGGGGCTGACATTTTCCAACCCGTCCTTCCTGGAGCGAGGGCAGCATCGATGCTTCCGTAACCATGGACATGCTGTTTTCCTGGGGGAAATGCCTTACTACCTCCACACTCCTATCACAGAGGGCAGTACGACATTACCCCCAGACCGCCTCGTAAAACGATTACTCACAGTACGGGGACTCACTGTTCTTTGTCGGGCTGCTACCAATCGGCTTTCTCGACAGAGTAGGACCTTAGGCAATTGAGTTTCAGCCAGTATAACCCACAGGACCATTGGAATACAAAAGCCCGACCGCCGCGACAGGGTGACAACTTCAGGTCGGGGATCAATACAGTACCCACCCTAGCATACGCAGCTGAAGCGGCGGGTGGTAGATATTTTCTCTCTAAGAGGAGCCAAAAAGCTCTTTCAACTCTCAGGTGGGGATAATGGCCGATAATGTGGAGGTGAACGCTACTGTTAATTTTTTTTAGGGTACTCTGGGGTGAAGTCCAGAATCAGTATCTAATCTCCGTAGTCCATTTAAGCGTTTTAATGGGCTACAGAAACACCAAGTATGGATTGTCACAGAAATTTTGGTAGAAAGAAGCCACTGTTAGCCGTGTGATATAATCAAAAGTTTTCCCAAGTTCGTTTGCGACACAATAACTCTTCTTATGTGTGGATCTTGCAGGGCCGCAAGGGCTGGTTCGGAAATCCTATACCATTGTCCCATTTTCCGCGTGCTGTTCAAAAGCTCATTTACACGTGTGTGCTGAAAATCCACCCCAAGTAGTGTTCACAATGTACTCTGCTCAAACCCAATTTGAGGTTTCTAAGCGAAAGGTTCTCTTACTTCTTACCGGTGAATGATGTCATGAGTGCTTTAGGACACACTTCATCATCGGTGAGAAGTTCCCTGTATGGGCGCTTTATGGATTACAGTACGTTTCGGTAGTAAAAGTGGACAGCCTCTGATTTATAGGTATTGTGGGACTGAATATAGATAATAATAATCCGTATGTGTTCGTATTGATTGATAGCAAGATGTAAACCAAAGATCATGCATGGCGCCAATTTCACAGTCCAATAATAGGCTAGAAGATATTACGAAACTGGATACAAAGGAATCAGGTTCACCCGGAACCACACCTGGTGCTGCAATGAAGTCGGTTCACTGGGAGCCATGTTCCACAAAGTTAATCCAGATGAACCAGAAATCAACGTTAAACGTGTTGTCCGCATTAGTGAGCAGAAGAATGAACGCCATGGTCTTTGAAGATTCTAAGAGACCCAACTGACCCAAAACCGACTACTATAGTGAGCACCTCGCCTTCGAGGAACCTCGTGTCTTCTCTCAGACCAGTTCTTGCAAGAGAAAGACATAATGGACCACTTCAAATCCTGGGGGCGAGATGGCCCAAGTGGTTAGAGCGCGAATTTACTGGCCGGAAGGTCCGTGGTTCGAATCCGACCTCCGTCACTCGACTTCCCCTGTCTAGGCTTGGGCAACCTGGCAGTATCCCAGCCCTCGTGCTTCCTTCGGGTGGCATGGCAGCTAGGCACCGAAAGGGTGCTACAGCTGAACACTTTCCTTTCAAATCCTGGGATAACGCCAAAGTAAGGACAGGTTGGTCTGATTGTTCGGAATTTCTAGGTGGTTCAAAAGAGATTGCCATAACTGGGTGGCACTTCATCCTTGTTTGCGCCAATACAATGCATTTTAACAGAAGGGGGACGAGTTGGTGCCCTGGGTAACAGAAACAAACCCAGATTCTTTCGATACTGTTGAAACTTGACTCTTCAAGAATCAGAGAGTAGGATAACTTTTATTGGTTACTTGCTTTTTGCTATGGTCGCCGAGGTAGCAGAGGGAGAATGTAACACTTACTGTCTGGTCGTCTTTTCATTTCAGTTTGTTGGCAACTTACGGCAACCTAGGTGCACATTTTGAGCGCTTGTCATTCCGCGTCGGGTGCTCCTTTTGTGGTTATGGTGTTCTACGGGAGTCTGTTTAGTAGGGTCATGTCCCTAATGGCGGCTTTGAATCAGGTAGTCATTCAGGTGGCAATTTAAGTTCTCTAGATATTAATCTGGAGCCGAATGGTCGAGATGGACCAAGTAGTTAGAGCGCGAATTTATTGACTGGAAGGTCCGCGGTTGGAACCCGACCTGTGTCTCGACGAGCCCTGTCTAGGCTTGAGCGGCCTGGCAGTATCCGAGCCCTCATGTCTCCTTCGTGTGGCGTGGCAGCTCTAGGCACCGAAAGGGTGCTGCATCTGAATCATTTTATTTTATTTTTTGAATACTGGTGACCAACTACTATCCGGCCTTTAATCACTGATACTTATGACACCTCTGGACATCTCTGAACTGTCGGCAGTGAAGCATCGGTGTCAAAATTGATGTTGCTGTCTTTGATGATGATGATGATGATAAACCGTCGCAAATTATCGTAAGTCAGCACACTTCCTTCTAGGGATTAACGTTTGCTTAATCGTGTCAGGATTCTTTTGTGGTTCATGAAGCCTCTGGGATCTAAGGGTTATTCAAAACTTCAAGCCTACATTCAAACGAACCGTGCAAGGGTGACTGTTAACGGATATCTGGTCAAATAAGCGGGCCTCAGCAGGATATCCACTTCGGCGTATCCAGCCTCAGTGACAACAGGCGGATAGCTGCCATGCCACCTGGAGGAAGCACAGAGGCTGGGATACTGCCAGGTTACCCAAGCCCAGACAGAGGAAGTCGAGAGGCAGAGGTCGGGTCGAACCACGAACCTTCCGATCAGCAAATTTAGTGTTCTAGCCACCGAGGAACAACCCGCAGCACATCTTCCAACTCCCAGCCGTGAGGACTAGGACATGATTTGCCATAGACCTATCGAATGGTCACTCTGGTTAGGGAAACTCTGGGTGTCAAATTAACTCCGCTCACTATAGCTCAGTAAGTCTTGGAAATACGCAAACCATCGCACAACGAAGTCCTTTGTTGCGGGACTTATCGGTCACACAGCGATGGAGTTTACAAGGGTTGTTCACTGATATCCACACTGTGTGAGTAATTAGCGAAAGAGCCGCAAGTCGATTCACAATCCATGTTGAATAGACTATCACTCCCATATCATCTTTCGACATTCGCCTTGTATCTTCAAAATGCAAAGCCGTGCTTTGGAACGTAAAGTCTCTGCACACGCCCCTTACAATTCAAGGAGAATCACTGGAGATTGTGGAAAAATTTTTCACATCTCGGTAGTTGTGTTAGCTCTGATACAAGTGTGTCTGACGAATTCAGTGCGCGATTCTCAGAGGCCGGAACCACTTTTGCTAAACGGCAGCAAAAAGGCATATCGCTGAATCTTACGGATCGCGTGTACCAGGCTACAGTGAAGGCTGTATTGTATGATTACAACACGCCTCTGCGGACAGGTGATGTGAGGCGTCTTTAGGTTTTTGACCAACGATATCTTGGGTCGAAGTCAACGAATTCGTAACGAGTTAACTAGAAAACGGGTATCTGGTCGTGCAGCAAGTACTTTAGTCGCGGAAAAGAAACCCAGCACCACCAAGTATGGTGGCTCGGCCATGTGCTACGCATGTCGGAACAGCGTTGTTCTCTGTGCGCCCTTCTGAATGGCGGGAACCGCGAGATGGACGACGTATGACTTGGCAGAAGGATGTTAAGGATATTATGAAGAGTTTGTGTTGTTGGTGTTATACACCTTCCAGGTGATGTCCTCGTGACACTGCCTGCGCTTGGCTGGAGGCGTCGTAAGAAATGGCGGCTGATCGGTGTCAGTGGCTTTCGTGCTGTGAGTTTCTTTTCAGGTTGTCTGGTCGTTTGGAGGTGTAGGCACCTCAGAATGCTTGACATAGTCCAGCACCGTGCCCCCTCCGTCACCCACTCTTTTCCTCCCTTTCTAACTCCAAGGGTTTACGTATAATTGGGTGGACTTTATGGCTGTCAGTGGGCATCATTGTCAACACTGATAGTGATAATGATAATGTACATGAATCCAACAGTTTTCCGTACTAATGTTGCTGTCGGTGATGATACGGAATTATACATCCAATACTCCTGATATTGTAGAGGCACTAGGTAACATCAATGCGAGCAACGGCAAGTCAAAGACCATTGTAGTAGTTCGACCGTAAATCAGCCAAATATTAAGGTGGAGTACACCGATGAGCTTGCACCATTTTGATCACTAAACAACCCCGACTACACATAACATCTGTACGAAGTCCAGATGTCAACTGCTAACTCCTCTGGTTCCTGTGCCTCGCGTACCTGTTTTTTGTGTTGAGTGTGATAACTCTTGTGGGACTTCGCACGATGCTTACGTGTTTCACCTGGACTTTTCCAAACGAGCATCAATGCGTTCGCTGTCCCATAGGGGTTTTTGTCTTTGTGTCTGGAGTCATCCCATCACCCCAAAAGTACGATGTCCTTCGCCCGTTCTATAGAGGTGGCGTCTCTCCTGCATTCGTTTAAAAAAATAATTTTTCTTGGCCTCCATCGTTTCCGAACATTTGGCTGCTTTTCCACTTCCAGAAGCTTCACGTGTTTCAAGTGAATGTATGGGTGTCTGTCATCCTTGTTTGACGAACAAATTTCTTAGTCGGTTCTCCTCCGGACGAATTTGTACGTGTAAGCGTCGGTACATCTAGCTAAAGCCACCGTGTTAAACCTCGTATCCTGGTCCAATGGGAGGATTATTCATTGCGATGGTTATCGCTGTCGGATTCTAGACTAAATTTTGTTTGAATGTGGGGTGATATAATAGCGTCCGATTTTTGTTATTCCACCTTTTGGTGCGTGGTAAATAACATGGCAGTGCAATATAGATTTGTGGTGCGGACTCAACTTAGTGAGCTTCTTTGACCCTTGAAATGGAACTGATTCCGAATTAGTCGCTTCTCTGAGCTATGGGCACCCCGTTTATAGTCACCCTGTTGACTCAATCAAATGACCTTTCGATATTCTGCATATTTTCAATGGCTAACTACACTTGCCTCGGAACAGATGCTTATCCACAAACTGAGCGAATGTGGGGTAAATTCGAAATTCCCAATCATGCAGCTAGCGCTTGGATTTTATGCCGAATAAACTTTTGTTAAATTGGCATACCAAAACAATAGGTATCGTGAATTGACAACTGTATAAACTAATTGTTGCGATCACCTTTGTTTCCATCCCTTTGGCAGGTAACTTTGTTGACTTTTGATTACTTTGCTCGAAATTTTTTACATTTTTCAGCTGTAAATTCACCAAAGCTTCGCATGGTAGTGGTCAATCAGAAAACTGGTGAGGCTTCGGGTTCCCTGGTTCAGCCGTTTGAAAAATATCATGTCCTCAAGGAGGTAATTTTCCTGTGTCATGTTATTTGATCCTCTAGGTCAATACGAATCAATATCGGTATTTCACTCAGTTCCCACTATCGAGACCGACGTTATCAGCGCTTAAATCAAATGGTTTCACGAAGATGACAGATATACAAAAAATGGCCATCAAACACATCCTTCTAGGCAGTGACGTTGTCGTTGAAGCGGCTACAGGAAGCGGCAAAACACTAGCCTTCCTAATCCCGATGCTGGATCGTCTCTACAGTAGTCGAGTGACGTCGCTTGATGGACCAGTGGCGATTATTCTCACACCTACTCGGGAGCTGGCGCGGCAAATTACTATGGTCTTGAAGCGCTTTAGCACATTCTTTAACTTCACAATGTTGAATATTATGGGTGGAAAGACCAGCGTGAGTTGGGAGTCGCTGCTTTTTGTCAGCTGTTTTTGTCTTGTGGTGCTTTTCAGCAGTGAATTTCTCCTGACAGTTTCAGATGTAGGTGAAAGTAGTGTTTCGTAATCAAACTATTCGTGAAAGCACAACTGGCTCATTTTCGACTGTTGGTGTCTCTTTCGGTGGCCAGAGCGTGGATTATGGATTATGCAAGCAACCTATGGATCGCCTAGCTGAACGCTAACAGCGTTTCATGGGCGACGCAGAAAGGTTTCTGGGTAGCTCTTTTTCGATATTTTCGAGTCCTAAACTCAAGCTACTTTCACCCAGTTCCTGTATTGAAACACATAATTTTGCACATGCCATCATGCCCATTCTCCTGATCAGTATTGGTCTTTCGGGCAGCGTTGATCTCATTGTTTATTCGTTCAGTGTGGATCTTGATGCGACTCCCACGAACAAAGCAGAGGTTGTGCAATAACGATTAGCTGAGTTTCTAATGTATCGACATCACGTAGTTGTAATACCGACAGATCTGTGATTCACTTTCGAAAGCACTCAAAAATATCTATGTAGATGTTGTCTTGAACAACACCGGGATGGTCTTAAGCAGCACACTTATTTGAAGAACAGCATAAGCGATATATTCAGTCGGATTCGGTTGAGTTCCCCTTCATAATCAACTGGAAACCATGTGCAGCGGTTGTATGAAAGTCATAGGTGCATAGTTAAGAGGTGAGAGGGGTACGAAGTCCAACGACTCAGGGGTCAAGTGACAAACGTCAGTGTCAGGCATACGTACACAGCGGAGTTGTTCGTGGGCCAACTCATGTCCAGAGGTCATACACGTTTCTTTTGAATGCAGGGTTGCGGGTTAAGTGGTCAAATTTGCACCGTCTCTGCGATCATTTCGCGGTCGGCTCGAGATATCTCAGCGGTTAAGGCGGGAAAATACTGCCTCAGTTGGTTCAAGTCCAACCCTGGCCTGGACTAGGGCAACGTAACCATATCTCGGCTCCCATGCTCCTTTCGACTTGCACGGTAACCATGGCCCGAAAGTGTTCCACAGCTGAACGATTATTTATTATTTTTGTTCCTAATGACTAGTTCGAAGTACCTCGTATATGACTGGGAAGGCATGCTATTTACCCATAACATGATTACTTTTGTTCAAATGTGACGCATTTGCTTGTTCTAACCAAGGCTCGGAGACACTGTATTGCGTTCACGTATTCTGTCCGACATCTGCTTTTTACGACTGCTGTATAATACTTTGTGCAAGAATACCAATGATTACACCCAGAATTCGATATGAACCGTTCAGGATGCCTGTTATGCTAAATTGGGTCCAAAGATTTTGGTTGACCTTGGGAGCAGTCGGCGGACATATCTTGATCTCTCTCTGGCTCAAGTATCTGATGAAGTCCTGCCTCTTTTGCATAACAACGAAACTCCAGAAACTACACCGGCATGTCTAAGTTTTTTGCGCTCTGTGTCAGTATCCAGGAGGTTCAGCCTTTTGCTGTATTCTGGTTCAAAAGTGAACCCGGTATTACTTCGAACCGAATTGTGAGAGTGTAGCACGACTTTGTGCCAATAATATCATCATATCACAAGTTCATTTATCAGGTATGCGGGGGAAACGGATACTTTTGAGTGTGTTGGTACATCTGACCCGTTGGTTCACCACTTATCTTCACTAGCTGGCATTTCCGCCAACATATATATATATATATATATCCAAATATGACAGTGCCTGTGACCGTTTATTGGTGTAAATCTTGAGTGGCCTATCTTCACGCGCCTACATTATCTTTTAACAGGTACTAAAACGCCAGGAATGGAGCACGGTGTCTCGCGCGAATATATTGATCGGAACTCCTGGTCGTCTGGCTCAGCATCAAACAGAAAATCCCATGTTGGATTTGTCCAACCTACAAATGCTGATACTGGATGAGGCCGATCGCTTGCTGGATCCCACATTTCGCGGCGACGTGGATACGATTATGACGAACCTGACACCGGATCGACAAACACTGTTGTTTTCGGCGACACAAAACAGGTTGGTCACCCCTGTGTAGTCAAATACAAGGGATCTTTATTTTCATGACTAGACTACCCAATCTGGCTTAAATTACCTTTCGAACAGATTGCGCGTCACCTCCCTGTACAGGATAATATGTAGCTGGTATATATAGTTTTGCTTCCTCCACGAGCAATCATTCAGTATTATTTTACTTGTTTATGACGATACAGAGAGACGCGATCACATTTTTCCTCTGTGTCTTCTGATGTTAGCGGTTGAAAGACATCCGAATTTCGATGCATCTAACAGGACCTTTGGTCGAGTTTGCAAGGAAGCACGGGAAATGAGTGACACATTACCACCGTTCGCATGGTCCCCAAGTGTACAGGCCAGAAATTGGGCGAACTTAGGGTACCAGTGTACCATCTGCGTTTGCACTCGGATTTTCCGTACTATTAGTTTTCTTGTTTTATTTCGTCCGCTATCACAGGCACTCCGGTCGATGAGGATGTGGCTGCCGTTTTAAATTCACGGGTGTGTAATTCGAAGAGTCTCGGAACATTTGTTCCGTATTGCGCATATGCCGCCTTGTTTTCACCTGACCATGTCATCGCACGCCTTGTTTAAATCAACACTTGAGTTTCGCTATCTCGTGGCCACCTTGTCTTGAGTCGGTATAAACTTTTGAATCCCGTTTGTAATTAGCAGTTCCCAAACCGGTGAATAGAAGCCGGTATCATTCCACGATTTGAGGTATGTACAATTTTATTATTGTATAAGTGTATTCATGGTATTGCATTTGTTGATAAGCCTGCATTCGAACGACTTGACTTTTGTAGTTTTGCGCGTAACTCAACGGGGCCCTACCGATTGAGGGAACAATCAATAGTACTCAAATTTCAGCTATACTGTGTATCCCGCATTGAAATTTTGGAACTTTTAGCACCAAGATGACTAAAACACGAAGAAGCAAGTTACTTCAAATTTTGTCGGACCTTGAACTTGATAGCTTGGTGAATGATACCTCTGATAGCCCTGTTGGTTGCAACATTTCCGTTCCTCAAACCCCTTTGTTATTTTGACACTTCCCCTAGGCCAAGCTTGGCTGGTGGTGCAATGCCCAGCAGGCATATGGGTAGAAATTCTGTCAGAATTAGGTTTGCATGTGAGATAGTAGGGGAAGAGATTATGATAGAGTTGAAGGAGCTGGAGATAAGGAAACGGAGGCTATCGTCTCGAAAGTAGACGCTGCTGGACTGTCAATGCTCCTTCGACGAGAGGTCAGTTGCAGGCGACTGTGAATATGGGTTTTCATCCAGTCGACAGAAGATCCGGAAGTTTATTGGAAAAGTCATTCGAGAAGAAACGGAATGCCCACGGTCCTCAATAACTCGGCGTAGAAAAGAAGTCGCTGCCGAGATTCGTACGCGACGCACGAAACGGGCGACCCACGGTACTAGCTGCCAGTCTGCCGAAAACAGAGATAGATAAGTTTGACAGAAATCCAATGGGAGTTTATGAAAGCTTTTTGATTAAATTTAGCTGATCGGCTTTTTGACGATAACAACAAATCGATGCTGTGGGAGGGGGGAGCGAGAGTTCATCGAGCACTGCGTGTTCGTGGTAAAGCAGGCCACCAAAGGTCCAAGAATATCTTCAGGACGCAGTTCGGCAAACAACATGAGATAACGCAGTCGTTCATAAATGAATTACTGGGTGGTGGGTCCATTGTTTCTGGAAGCGTCGATGCCTTACGCTGTTACCTGGTACTTGGACAGATGCGTGATACGGCAGACCTGAATTGCTCAACGAATCTCAAGCGCACAATAGAACGTCTACCTCGGCATTTGTTAACAAACGTGGGCCGAAGCAGCTGTCGACATACTGCGTTCGGATTCAGGGCCAGATTTGAGTACTACTGATTGCTCCCGCCACCAGTTGAACCCCGTTGCGTTACGCGCAAAACCACAAAAGTCAAGTCGTTCGAATACAGGCTTATCAACAAATGCGGTACACCTCAAATCGTGGAATTATACCGAATACTATACACAGGTTTGGGAACTGCTAATTGCAAACGGGATCCCAAAGTTCACACCGACTCAAGGCAGGGTGGTCACAAGATGGCGAAACTCAAGTGTTGATTTAAACAAGACGTGCAGTGTCATGGTCAGAGAGCAGTTTACTTCCAGGTCAAAACAAGAAAGGCGGTCCATGCTCAATACGAAAAAAAAACAAGACAGGGAGTCACTTTGTAGGCGACAGGAAAAAAAGAATTGACGCTGTTCACAGCCAGCATGGCTTTTCCTAATCTACCAAATAAAAATCCACGTCATGCAAGAGTGAGATCAAGTAGATTGGTGCAGTCCCTAGCCACAAACGTCTCCCTCAATTCGGAGCATTCGCCTAGGTTGGGTGAACAATTATTTGTCTTCTACTCCTTCCAGCAGGCAGATGCGACTTATATCACGTCTATGCTCACCAGATGCAGTACTTACTAGCACTCCCCAAACATGACCATCACTTCTGGGCCTGGCCTCCGCTGTGATACCTGAAACCGCTATGGCCTCTACGATTGCGGAAACCATGACCTCTCCTACCAAAGCCTCCGCCGCTTGAGGAGAAAACCTCCGAGCCCTCTTCCAGTTTGAGCTGGCATCTTTTAACCCCTCTTCTGATCCTCCGCTCTGATATTCCTCATCGTCGTTATCATTCTCATCCTCGTCATCGTCGTGGTCTTCGATGGCAGATTCTTCACAGCATCCTCAGTTTTCTCTATTCCAGATTTCCATGGCATTGGTCATCATCCTCCGACTCGTTCCATTTATCTTCGTTTTGTAACGCAGTAGGTGTAATGGCTGAATATGACTTTGAAGAGAATCCAAAGGAGATGGCGTTAAAGTGCTGATTGCCACATCCTTTTTCCAGAATTTTGAATGAATCTGGTTGTCAACCCTGAGGAGACTTTGAAAGTAAAATTTCCATGGTTAAACATTTGGGAATGCCCGTTATAACTAGTGCTTCGCTAGTCTCAGGACGACATCAAATGGCTCTTTCACGAGAAAGTGTACGGCCTTGTCATCGGCAGAGAGAGAGAGTTTTCTCACCGGTTAGTGGATTCCTCATAGTACTGTCAGCAAATACCGTCGTCATTGCCACACACAAGTTCAGCTGCACCAAATGTTCCACAAGGAAGGCGCGTTCGCCCAATACCATCAATAACTGCGGAAGGTCCCGGATGGATTTGCAAGCAACGGGTGTTCCTGAGGTCCTGAATGGTTGGGAGGGAACATACACCTGCTGTTTCCCTATTGTGGATGCCAGATCGCATTTGTTGTCTATTTCGATCCATTTCATTCCTTACTCAACGGGATTGTTCGATATTGTCCGTATTTTTGTGGACAAAGCACTAGCACTAGCGACAAGGCGTCCTCTGAAGGAAATCGGCATCACCGGCAGAGCCATGCAGAGTACAATAGAGACGAATTTCTCCTGTCAATCATAACCGTTTCTCTAGGTGTCGTCCATAAAGATTCTCGAACCTCTGAATATGTTATCTCCCCCTTTTCTTTGCATATAACACTGGGTAGACAACGTTATTTGTTACTAAACTTTCAGCACAATTAATCAACTGGCCCGCTTGTGCATGCGTAATCCCGTGATCTTGTCCACGGCTTCCACGAGTAGTGGATCAACAGTTCCTGAACAACTTCTGCAATCTTACGCGGTTGTTCCATTGGAACAGAAGCTTGATGTGCTATGGACTTTTCTCCAAAGTCACTGTAAGAAAAAGATCATTGTATTCTTTTCGACCCAAAAGCAAGTAAGTGAACGGGCATCACTGTGTGATGTTTACTGCCTCTTTGTAGTTTATTGCGTTATCTTTTCGAATGAATAAACGTAATCGTCACTCAGAAGAAAGGCGGCCACTCCCACCCAATAGATGCTAATGTAGCCTTGTATTGTCCATGCACAGGCAAGCTTCTATGACCTGTGATCGTTTTTGGGATAGTGGGACAATGTATGAATGGGGTCTCAGGACTAGCCGCTGGTCAACCGTGATCTTTGAAAGATAAACCAGGCTAGCGTTGTTTACAAACCTGTCGTGTGACAGTCTCCAATGGGTAGAGGTAAGGCTGAAAAATTCCGTAACATCCATTTCGTCGTTAAGGCGCCGCCACCTCTAATATGCGCTGACCGCGAAAAGCACGAGCTAATCCCCTTCTGAAGAGGATGTTGCCCATCTATTCTCTGAGTGTTACGTTGTCCAAACGAAACTAAGGCCTACTAGCAAATACTCGAAGCGGAAAACATAGATAAATTGGTGCAACTCTGAACGAATGGATTCGGTTCCTTGAAGAAACAATATAGTATCTTTTTTCCGTTGCATTTCTCCCTATTTTCGCACTCAATTTCGGGTATTCGAAATTCGCATTTTTTACCACTCAACCTTGGACTGATATAACCAGATATTCTTAGTCTGACAGACACTAGCACCAAATAAATATGGGATAACGGTATGCCGAAACCTCTTGCTTTCATATTGGACAGTTTCGTGTCTCAACCCGTGATCAGACCGGTGGTGATAATGCCACAAATACGAAAATCACCTTCACTCCAGCGACAACTCGAGAGTTTTGTGAACCACATGATCATTCAAGAATGGGACAGATAACACAAGTTCCATTCACGGAGGCTATTGGAAATTTTGGTCCAAGGTGCATGTGGGCTATTGTATTGAACCAGCAGTCGTGGACACTAAGCAATATTGCATAGGGGTGGCATCCACCAATCATATATCGTACAATATACCATCAACATATTGCGACATGACAGGCTGGCCTTTGTTGAAAGAGGCTTGGACTTGGTCCAAATGCATCTCACTTCAGTTTATCAACCTTGACCATGTGTCTGCCTATTATGGTTCTAGTCTATGTAGAAACTTATCATATTTATGTGAGGTTACATCAGAAAGAATTACGTAGAGAAACGAACGGCCTACATTTACAATGCTTTGTTGAACCTGAGGGATGCGCTGTTATTTGTAAATGCCTCCTGCCTTCGTTTACCCAAGTAATGTCTTTTTTCAGGTTAAATACGTTTTGTCATTATCCTCATCAACAACATTAAATCAGTAATCAATACTGATGCTTCGTTGCCGTACAACCATGATTTATTTGAAAGCCTTATTGTAAAAAAAAGAGATAAAATTGGACTTGGAAGGGACTTAGTGCTAGCCTAATACAATCCTTCCGAGGTGCCCGCACCGCCAGACACTCATTCAGACAGTCTGGACAACAAGAATGCCACCGACATCGATAAACAATCATATCTTGCAGCGTCTGGGGGTCGTTCGGTCCCCATCCTGGTAGGCGAGTAGCACTGACGGCATCCAAACGTTTCGTAATCTCTTTCACATTCCTCTACTAGGTCAAGGGCTGGTTATTTCGCCACGGAAAACAACACTCTCTTCGGTAAACGATGTTTCGGCACACGCAATACATAGCCTAACCAACGCAGCTTCTGGTGCTGGACACATTCTTCAATGGATAGCCGAGAAATCGCTTGATAATTACCAAGTTACAGATTCGCCGACACCAACCCACATGAGCTATGGTTCTAAGACAACGGTTTTCGAGCTCCCAAAGAAGTTCCAGTTCCGCTGCTCGAACAGGCCAGGCTTCAGCCATACAACAAAACAGTCCGTACTGTAGCCTGATACAGACGTCCTTTGAGATTCAGGTGTCTCAAATTGGGAAACGCGACCCAAGCCTCGCAGATTCGTGCATTGACACTGTGTTACAGTTCCTGATAAGTTTTACGGAAAACAAAACAGTACTGTAGCCTGATACAGACGTCCTTTGAGATTCAGGTGTCTCAAATTGGGAAACGCGACCCAAGCCTCGCAGATTCGTGCATTGACACTGTGTTACAGTTCCTGATAAGTTTTACGGAAAACTGACTTGGTGTTGTAAAAAGAACGATCGAATTGAGTGCACTCAGGACCATAAATGTAGGTACCGTGGTCATCTGACGAGGAGAACAATGTTTTCCGCACTGAACGTAGCGTGATAGAAACCTATATTTGGTTAGCCATTGACATGAACACAGGGTACACAAATGAAAAGAGTTTGCGTACTGTACGGTGACTGTACTGTCTTTCTACATGAGCTTTCTTACTGTTCTGCAACGAGGAAACGCCGTTCCTCAACGCTGATTGTAACATTGTTCAGAATTGGTTTTGATCCCAATTTATCAAATGTATTTGACATCTGTTAACACAGGTTCGATACGTCTACGAATTGTTCCAACAGCTACGTCCGTACTTCCGCGTGATGCAACTTCGTGGCAACATGTCACAACATCGTCGTTTCCAGGTCTATGATCGTTTCGCTGCCACACCCACTGGTTGTGTTCTCTTAGCCACCAATGTTGCTGAACGGGGTCTTGGTATGTTTATTGTTTGGCTCCGTTTCTTGTAACTCAGCCGTGAAGCTGTTTCTGGATGCGATCGAACTATGATCTGTATTCCTTTTGATGATTTGTTTGTGCTCGGTCGAGAATGCCACAACCGGTTGATTTGTTTCCATGTTCTGTTCTTCGAAATCTTCCGGTACACAACTATTATTGTAGTGTACCGACTAGCAGTGAAACGAAAGTACTCCATTTAACCAACCACGAGAGCTGTATGCTAACCTAGTTGTCATCGGTGTGAAGTGTTCCTTTTAGAAACACAGGTGAAACTTCGCAGAAATGCTATGGAAGATGGCCGTCTATGGGGTCTGTCATTTTGACTAGTTCTTGGCAGTAGCTTCGCGCGTTAACCCTCAAATTTATTCGCCAACCAAGTGGCCAGTGGCTGAACTTCGAGACAGCTTATTCACCTGTTACGCATTCCGAATCATCATCTACCGAGATGAGTGTCGTTCTCCGTTCATCCTTCAGAATGGTATGTACTGCGAGATGGGCGTGTGACCTGGCAGATGTTTGTGAAGGATATAACTAGGAGTTTGGGCGTTGTTAGTGCGGTCCGTCATCCAGGATGTGTTTGTCGTGACCTTGACTGTGCTTAGCTGGAGACGTTGCAAAAACTGACGGCTGACTGATGTCAGTGATATTCGTCCTGTCAGTCTTTCCTCACGTTGTCTGATTGAGCGTTCGAATGTGATGGTACCTCAGTGCTTGCGGTAGGCTAGCATCTGCTCTCTCCTCCATCTAGTCTTTATCTTTTTTCCACTTTGGGGCTTTGAATATAAACAACCCTGTGGTCGTACGTCAGTGAAGTATTAGTGTCGACACCTATGTTCCTTTCTTTAATGCTAGTGATGACGAATTCCATTGTTGGTACCAGGATGAATATTTGTCAAAGGGCAGCGGAGGTAGATCGGTATGACATTTTGTAGCGTTGTTTGTAACCTACCTGATTAAGCTCCTCACTGCACTGTCGAAATAACAATGGGAATTTTTACTACCGTCTCATTTTCTGTTTCACTGTTGCCTCTTTCAGATTTTCCAGCGGTCCATTGGGTAGTCCAGTATGACTGCCCTCGACAGCTAGATGACTACGTACACCGTGTCGGCCGCACGGCCAGGTTTGGAAAAGCAGGTCGTGCGATCACCTTCCTACTACCTTCAGAAACTCTGTTGATTGATCTGCTTAAGGAGAGGGGGTTGGAATTGAAGTTGCAAAAGTATGCGCTTTCTGCCGCGATCTATGTGCAATGGGCTAGTTGTGTACTAAATAAAAGCACCCATTCGCCAGTTTCTATGCGTTGTCATCCAGCTATGTCTCCCTTGACATCTGGTTAGTTTAGTATTCTAGGCTATGTAGGTTGAGGTAGTAGGTGAAAACGGAAAAACATTGGCTTTTCATCATACTTTTTACTCCCTATGCTAAATCGATGCCGAGTGATCCAACCGTTGGACCTGCATATAGCAGCGATGAACACATCTCTGAAGAAAAGCTTCTACTTACGGTACTTTCTTTGGACGTGTTCTGCAGCCATTTCTGGTTGTTCTGCTCTATTGTTTTACAAGAACTTTGCACCTGTTTACATCATGTCAATTGCAGGGTTTATTTGATGTCATCCGATCCACATGTGAGAGAGTGACTACTGCGCTAGTCAGGAAAAAACTCCACCTGATTCTCAAATCAGTTTTCTTTGTCAGTTGGATGATTATTTGTTCGTGGATTCGCATCTGATTGAAAGCCAGCTGTCTAGATCACGTGATTTTCGCCCCGACAAAACTGTGAACAAAGGAATAGTCAGTCGAAGATAGAGTCTCATCAGCCAGAAATATTGGAAAGCATACCAGTTTGAAGTCCGATTGCTCAGACACGTCTCGGAATACTGGCAGGTCACAGTCATTGGCCCGCCTGTATCCAAAGGCTGCATGGTCTATTCTACCAAGTCTGTTTATCTCCCAGCATATGTACTCATTTGCCAATTTTTTCGTCCAACATCCTCGATTGGATGCCAACATATACTTGTTTCCAACCAAGTTCTTCATGAGCAGCAAACTGAACTTTTAACCAGCTAAAACCAGGTTGGGCGACTATCAGTGTACTAAGCCATCACGTGTTTTCAAGTGTCATCAAGGCCATCTGGATGATTATTTTCGATTGCAGCACTATTATGAACGGCCATTCTCTTGTCAGCTCGTGTACACGACTTACAGTTTAGTTTGGCTCTGTGACCGGTTGCATTGCAGTTGATGGGGACTGGAAAAATTAAGCTTCAGTCCCGTCCAAACAGGCTTACCCGCACAGGACGTGAAATGGAGCGATCCGCATTTCTTCGGATTAGAACGTCCGAAGAGAAGTTTTCTATCCAATTGAACGCCTTGTTTTGGTGGAGTTTATTAAATTCAACGGTGGGTTTTAGATCAGCCTGTTGACACTTGCCATCAACTTGGTTTTAGCGACTACGAAGCACTTGATTTGAACCGAACATAAGCCTGACTTACCAATTGCTCCTGATCCTTACGAGACGCTATTTATTAACCAAGGAGACAGGTTTATTGAAACCCTATTGATCAGTTGATCGGTACCAGTAATTTGCGCTCAGAAAGACTTGATGTGACTGAGATTACCATTGTTTTTGATGGGTTCACCTTATGTGAGGCTTGCTTAAGAATCTTGTTTTAGCTTTAGTTTATCGTTTCGCTTATTTTACTGGTTTTCAGCTTTTGCGGCGGACGACAGCAGGCATGGTGAATTCATCCCCCAAATATGTTTTTCCATACAATCGCTCAAGTTGGTGTAGAGAACACGGTGTTTTAATTCTTTTCAGCTTGTCACTGTTCAGCTCAATGACATCACTAGCCTGTGCTTGCAGAAATATCTATCATCAGTCATCGATCAGGGTTGTATGGTTTCCTGTTTTCACCACAGACCATCTTCGGAAACCCGGTTTTTCATGCCCCCTTTTTTGCCGCAACATGCCAGATTCTCTGTTTCTCTCTTTCTTTCTCTGCATTTCCAACTGCGCGGAAACATGTTGGACAAAGCTCAGGGAAGCTTTCTTCAATTTGGACAGGTTAATGTGGTATTATTTTTATTCCACCCTTTCACCACAGGTTCCCAGAATCGAAAGTCAATCACTTTGTTTCTAATCGGTCTCCGGCCCTGTTAGCTGCCAAGCCGGATATCGCGGTCGCAGCACGCTCAGCATTCACGGCATATCTACGTGACTATTGTCTGGGAGCTGGTTCACCAGATAGGAAGGCCGCTTGCCCAGCAGATCTCGGAATCGCAGCTATCTTCAATCCCGCGGACTTGCCTTTGGCTGCCTTCGCCGTCTCTCTGGGTACGTTTATGGTGTCATCCGATGTACTTTCATCATACTTAAGACATGAAATTAACCGTAGAATTCAGGGGGTAAAGCAAGTACTTGGTAATTATCCGCTTCATTGATATGGGACTTGCTTCTGGCACATCATTACCAAGTCATGTGCTTCTCACGGTTCTACAGAGTACTCCAGTTACTATTCAGTGCTTCAGATTATATTATAAACTTTTTTGAAGATTTAACAATGGTGGTTGAAATTCTTCACTACAAGTTGCCTAAATTTGGAGGCACATATTACCCAAAACAAAGAAGTACTAATGTAACTGGCGAGTGTTTCATTTTAAATCAAATGTCGGTTCATCAGCCACTGACGCTGCAGTTAATTTCTCCCTTGTCTATTACTTTACGGTGACTTTTCCCTGGAGAAGAATTAGTCGGCGCCAAGAATACCACACATCGCTGCTGATCATGAAGCGCAATCGGTGGCGAGGTTCAAGCACATCGTCATCCAGTTTCTCTTCCGTTGTTTGATACCCATGGACCACCTGCGGACCTAGTAGTTCAGCATCGGCATTAAAATGCAGACGACCAGGGGTTTAACTGCCCTCCGGTGCGACAGTGCCATTCTCAGTAGGTTAGTGTGCGACAGGGAGAGTTTGGGCAGTTTGGAGTCCGGTTTGTGGAGGACATGTTCCAGCCACCGTTATATGCGTCACTGGGTCAAATCGAATAGTTGTATTTCTTGGCTACACTGTGTTGCGGTCATTAGGGTAGTAAATTCTACCACTCTTCGAGTTTTGATAGATTGCAGCATCTGATACCGCTTGCTGATGAACGATAAAGACTACACTGATCAGTGTGAATCCGGTTAATGTATATTTTCTTTTACTTCACCGTGATGCTACATGACGGTATTAAGTCCATCGGCTTAGACCACCTTGGATGCTGCAGTCAGTTCCGGAAACCTGACTTTTTTGACTACTCACGTAAAAACAGTGTTACCGCTAAGTTAACCACCTATTTGAAAAATAATGTATTTGCTCTTGATTTTCGGTTTGGTCTAGGGTTGCCATCGGTACCTGAGCTACCGCAGAGTTTCTTACAATGGACTACAAATCCAGATAACTCTTCGCAAGCTGAAGTTCATCGATCATCCAAAAACCTTGTACCTTGGTCGTCAGATATTTTGGGGTCCAAACCAGATTTCCCGGTGGACAGCAGTGACGAAGATAATTTTCTCCTTCGAAAGCCTGAGAACTTATCTAAAAAATTACCTACGTCTAATCAACCAGGCCATAAGCTTTTGGACGTCGTGGATAGTTCGAGCAGCGAGGGTGAACAGTTGTTGCCGCTATCTCCTTCAGAAAATTTGGCGCTCACTCAGCAACCACAAGAAGTAATCATTCCTCAGCAGCCAAAGAAAGTGAGTCTCATGCAGTAAATTCATTCACTTGCTTGCTTTGCTCATCGATCTTGCTATGCAATTTGATCTATTCCATCTACTACTCGTACTACTCATCTGCTCGCTCTTATCACTTCTCCGTTTGGTCTCTCGAAATCGCCTGCGATTACAAATACAACTTGCTAACTCATTTTCTTGTCTTGGGTACTGTCGTATTTTGTTGTTCTATGGTGGGGGGCGAGATGGCTCAAGTGGTTAGAGCGCAAATTTACTGACCGGAAGGTTCGTGGTTCGGATCCGACCTCCGCCACTCGACTTTCCCCTGTCAAGAATGGGCAACCTGGCAGTATCCTAGGCCTCGTGCTTCCTTCGGGCGGCATGGCAGCTAGGCACCGGAAGGGTGCTACAGCTGAACGCTTTTTTATGGTGGTGTTTCGCAACGAGACACTGTCGGGAGCGGCCGATTTCATGCACATTTTCTAGATGTCCTCTCCTGAGGAGGGGATTGAAACAAGGTTTAGTCACGAAACATTTATGAAAAAATTGTTCAGCTGTAACACCCTTTCGCTGCCTAGCTGCCATTCCACCCGCGGGAAGCACGAGGGCTTGAATACTGTCAGGTTGCTCAAGCCTAGACAGGGGAAGTCGGAAGGCAGATGTTGCGTAGGCCGTCCTTTCGGATGTCTGTTCTTTACGGGTTGTATCTATCCATTTCGAGCCTAGGAAAATCGAAACCGGTGAATTTATGTTTTTTTGGAGGGTTCCTTTTTTATTTCTCGCGCGTCCTCATGGATCACTGAATATACAGGAAATCCGAAGTCCTCTGTATAGTACTTGCAACGTCTTCACCTGCGCACGCTGTAGTTACAGATTGCTTTGCAATTTACATTGTAGAAATTGACGCGCATACAGAAAGCCAAAAAGGAGTTGCGGCGAAACGTCCGATCCCACATGAAAATCTTATTCGACGAGACTGGCCAGGCAAGTTTTTTGGTTTCCTATTTGCCCCACATGCCATTTGACATGCACAGTTGTGCTTCCATTTGTTCTGGAGTTGCCACCAATGTCTACAGCCAACCTGGGTCTACTCTTCATTCTGACAGTTCTGCAAAAATGATACCAAAGTTAGTTAGCGAACCGAGGTAAACTGTATGCAAATCAGCTAATGTCGTTGACTTCGGAGCTCGAAAAACGACTACACCACACAGAAGGGTCCAGTAGAATTTCTGGGAAGATATCCAACTGACGTACCATTGTTCGACACATATAACACGCTATTCATGGTTTTTATAGCTGGTGTTCGATTTCTCCTGTAATTTTCCATACCCGCTTTGAACTAGGACTGCTTTACCTTCCCTCGTAATAGTATCCATGCACTCAGTGTGACCTTCATCTACTTTCAGCCCATTAAGAAGATGATCGGAGATATTCCTTTGCCGGACGACACGCTTGTTTCAAAAGAAGATGAACATGCTGAACGACCTGCCCGTTTGGATGTGGAGACTGAACGACAGTTGCTTAAAGTGGTCGATAGGGAGGATAAGAAGCGATGGAAGGAACGCCGGAAAGAGGAACATCGACAGCGGCGGAAAAAACTGAAGGAACTAAAAGATAAATTACAACAAAAACCTGGAGAATCTTTGTTGGCCAGTTCAGATTCATCAGATTCTTCCGAAACATCGGAGAAAAAGCCTCGACTAGATTGACTGGGAGAATTTGTAAATTTGTGATAAAGATCAGATACGTCTTATCTGTACAAAAGTGTCTGATATTAACATTAATTTTACCGGAAGTCCCCTCTGTTCTCACAGTCTCAGACAACTGTCTTTTCATTCTTTCCCAACACTGGTCAACCATAGAAAACTGCAAACAGCTGGGTTACATGGAACACGGGAATAACAACCCTATCTTATCAGTCCTGAGAACAAAGCAGGGCTTGCAGTCACGAGATGTGGAATTGATGTCTTAGTACAACCACAGGGCGAGGAATAACCCTGTGCCGCATGGTTTGCCGACACTATCTGGACCACTTCTTGGACATGAGATCGTATGGGATGCATGGTTGATGAATTAACATGTGTGCACAATTTTCAAGACAGTTCGTTTGAAAGGGTCTGTGTAGGGATTCGAACGGAAGTCTGCAGTATTGACCACTGGACTATCCCAACCCAGCGACCGTGATACATGTAACTGACGTAATATAATGAAGTCATATGAACTGTCACTGTCTAGTCGAAAACGGGCATTCAAGGCGTGGAAAGTTTAAACGTAACTGGTTTATCAAAAAAACTAATGTGCCGTGAGTTTCAACTAGTTTCAATTCCTATGAAAATCCGAAATGCCCGGAAAATCCGTTGTTTAAGAAAGTGCAGAGGGCCATTGCAAAGGCAGAGGGCGGTTATCTTTGAAAAACAATGTGTGCATTTTGTCCTTAATGGGGCTCATTAGGTAGGTGTTACCGGTTATCTGCTGCTTTAGTTAACAGTTTTTCACCACCCAGTCACCAACCAGTCTGGTGCGTTTGGCGAAAATAAATTGAGGTGTTTTTCTTTTCCTGGTAAGCTTACCTACCTGGGAACAGTCAGGTGGAAATTCCTTGCATTTTGGCCGTCCTTCTGGAGGGTTTGAAAATGTTATCGACGTAGCGACGAGTCACTTCAGTTCTTGTTCACACAAGTGTTTGGGCGTAACAGAATGTGATGTTGACCTGGCAGGTAGGCGAGACCGACAGCAGGAGAAATCGCCACTACCACTTCGAGTACGGCAGTTGGAGCAATTGATCCATGGCATGGGGAGAGGCGGAGAGGAAAAAGAGGGTCCAGTGTGCTGTAATTTCGACCCAGATGTGTATGAATCAGTTGGGCGATGTGTTGTGCCACTTTAGTCTTTTGAGACAGGTTTAAGAATAAGGCACCATGGGGTCGGTTATCGTACAGGGTGGGTTGCAATACTCGATTCTAAGGTCATCGAAAATAGCTCATATGACTCATTCATTTCCAACCAACTGACAACGGTAAGCTTAGCACTCCAACTCGACCTACACTCAACCTACGTTGAATTCCAAGGCATTAGAGACTAGTCCGTTACTGAACAGCTGAATCTTCTCACGCTGTTCGTATCGGTAGTGTAAGGCAAGTTTTTTCAGTCGCGATTTCTGTCTGACCGGACATGATTAGGTACAGGAGGATGAACATGAGCGATGTAAACTGAAAACGACAGCCAATTATTATTAATGACTAATATATTAGACATAAATTCGTTTCTTTTCGCATCAACCGCGTCAGTCTTGTTCCGCAAACCACCGGTGCTTCATACTCGGAATGGCTGAGTCAGGGGACGTTTGGCCCACCTGCTCTCCACCGATAAAACTTATGAAACAATGTTCTATACAAACTGTTCATCACGTATGTTCGTGACAGCCGTCTGTTGCATTCATCACAGTAAAATACTTTTTTCCAACTCATTTCGGCTCATCAGTGGAAACGAAAATCGAGGGACAGGGTAGATGGACATGTCGGTTGTTGTTGGTTTTTCAAATTTTCTGAGCCAATTAACCAAATCGGAAGTTTGAGGGATGCCTCAAATTTTCACTCCTAAAGCCTGGATTTGAAAAGGTCCCCCGGAATGGACGATGTAGACATCATCATCATCATCACTGTCAGCTGTAATAACCGCATACTCGTCGTACAGTGGTTGTAGCTGCCGCAGTTTC